CACGCCTCGTGTGCTGACTTCCCGCAAAATGACATTCATTACGTTTTCCCAACGTTTTTCGTGAGAGTGTGCACCTACTGTACTTTAAATAAAGGCCAAATATTATGTGGTGGAAGGCCGTTATAGCAAACCGTTTACTTTCGGATAAATTCTTTTTATAAGAAAAGCAAAAATGTGGTCTATGACAATATACATATGTGGTTCCCTTAACATATTCTAATAATTTTCTTGAGCAGCCTACATTAAAATTTTGCGTAGGAGGTGGAATCTTTAGAGGAATCTTTGCTCCAATGAGTAAAATATACTAAGTGTAATTTGCCTCAAGTGAACATAAGGAGGTCTGCCATCAAGTTCCAACGGTGAATGGCGCAGACAGAACAATTCCGAATCTGCCCAACATTTTACAATCGAAGAACTAATTTCTGTAAAGAAAAACACATTAACTGGCCAACGTTTCTAAAATCGGCCATTGTCCAAACACTATTATATAGTTGCCTAAAAAGCATATACGTCTTGAAACGCATTAATATTGGTCAGTTGGTGTCCTTTGGAATTAACTTGCATGTAAAGACTACTTTATAGAAGCGGGAATCAAAATGTTCCCATGACTAATTTGAAAACTCATTTTCTGACAAACATATGTTTTCAGCCACTCTTCATCAGGCCAAACACTTGCCGTAAAGTCACTGCTTCGACTAATAAATCCATTGCTGTGTTGGCAGAAGACGCTGACACAAGCCCTTGCATTTCCGTGGCCGGCACCGACGCTGGGTGGCGATCGCATTTCGCCCGCAATCCACTAGTGACAGTTGCTCACTCAACACGTCAATCTCACCTACTTGCGCAGACTGACATAGTCCACAGTGGCCAATTGGCGCTTACGTTAGACAGTTATTGATTCTGTAACATGTTCAAACCTTAATTGTTTTGTACAGCTTTCATTACCGCTGCCTGATGAAGAGTTGCCGAACACATATGTTTGACAGAAACTGACCTTTAAAATCAAAACAGTTTTGTACTCTTTGGACATCTTATGGACATTCCCAAATTAGTTTGGTATGAATCGACACTTTTGGGCAAAGGCGCAGCATACTTTCCAGGGGGAAGGCAATAAGATGTTACAAAATGAATTCAGTATATGAACAAGTTCAGTAAGAAGTCATGAAATTGCATATCTTCATTAAATCCTGCTAGCCCCGTGGTCTAGGCCTTGTTCAAATTTCTTCCGGGAAAACAATGCTTCAATTCAATGTATATAAATCAGTGAGAGTTTAGTTTTTAAAAACGAGTCAATACTTATGGAAAGCCATAATGTAGTAAGTGCACAGTGAGCATTTGCTTTACTAACCCATAATCATTAAATCCTTAGCAAGAAAGTATTCAAAATTGATTATTTGATGAGAAATCATCTTATTACGGCTTTAAACATGATTGAAATAAAATGGAAATAAAAATACAAATGCAGTGTATGATATATGAAGCACTATGAATTTGAAATTATGCAAAAATGCGACTAAAAGTATTTTTGTTTTAGATGATTCAAAACTATGAATATGGATAATTTTAATTTTTATCAGGGCGTAAGAAATCCGAATTGATTGTCATTGCATGGAAGAAAATAAATGTTGCAGGAACTTAAAATCCTTTAATAATTAATTTAATTTTATGCGACGTTTATACTATCTTGGGTTCTCGTAGCTGTAATCAAGGTTGCTACTGCATGACAATCTTTTAGAAAAAGACCATGTGGCGAACTGAAAGGTATGATATAAATTATTTCCATCAAATAAATATATCAATAAAGTAACAGTTCTGTCATTACATGAATTGTTTGAGCAATTATATTGGATTAGACTTATTTTGTAAGTTATTAACGTATGCATGATTTCCAACGTCCCTTCTTATGTCGATATTCTTTTTCTAAACAGTCTCTTTTCGTTGTGGCGGACTGTAGGTTATACAGCATGGTGGCGCAGAGATAGATAAACACACGTTAATAAGATCGTATTGGTAGTAGACTTACGCTGCACCTTCCACACTAGCTCCTTTCCCAGGTAGGTCCGCTATGGTTACCAAGTTGAGACCAGAGGCCGAAAAAGGCGCAGGCGACTGTCGTGGTCTGAGCCCCCCATAGGCGTCACGCCACACCTGGCCTGGGTTCCATAAGAGAAGGGGTGCCTTAGAGGCTACAGCACGATTGAGCTATTGTGGCCTGATTCTTAGTCCGCCCGTCGTCCTGTGGCGGGCACAGATGGATTCGCTAACCTGTCAGCCACTGCGCCCATCCCACATCAGGCAATCGATTGGCTAGGCGGTGGCTTGATACTGGCGGTGGGAGAGTGAGGTCGACGACTCAGCGCATTCCTTTCCTCATTATCAATAGTATGATCCACTTGAAACTATCACGGCTAGCTTAAGGCTGTGGCAT